GCAGTGCCCCTGGTGGTAACATTTGTCTCTAGTTGATTCTAGCAACGAGCGAAGATAGGAAGTCGAAAGACCAGTTAATCTACCGACTCTGCTAAAACTAAACTATTTAAATTTTTTTCAATTTCTCGACGTTGCCAAATCCCGAGTTCAAAAATGTAAAAATCTTCGGGGGGTCATTTTTCGACCGATGACCATACGTTTCTTGTTATATATAACCGCAAGGGGAGTAAAATTTTATGGCTCCGTATATTTACCTTTATAATTGGTTTATTATACAAATAGAAATAAAGAACCGATTCAATACAATTGACAAATAATTTTTTACGTAAGTACTTCCTATCAACATAATTTATCCTACATTAAATATATGTTTGAAAGTTTAATTAAATTTTTTCGTGACCGCTTACAAGAAAAAATCCAACTCTTTTACTGCGCTGTGTAATGATATTTCGTGTTCTCATCTGTAACCGTACCAAATATACAAATATTGACGAAAACGATGAACTTNCTCATTAAATTTTTTAAATTTTTTTAAAACTATTTAAATTATTTATTACTAAAACTAAACTATTTAAATTTTTTTCAATTTCTCGCGTTGCCAAATCCCGAGTTCAAAAATGTAAAAATCTTCGGGGGGTCATTTTTCGTCCGATGACCATACGTTTCTTGTTATATATAACCGCAAGGGGAGTAAAATTTTATGGCTCCGTATATTTACTTTTATAATTGGTTTATTATACAAATAGAAATAAAGAACCGATTCAATACAATTGACAAATAGTTTTTTACGTAAGTACTTCCTATCAACATAATTTATCCTATATTAAATATTTGTTTGAAAGTTTAATTAAATTTTTTCGTGACCGCTTACAAGAAAAAATCCAACTCTTTTACTGCGCTGCGTAATGATATTTCGTGTTCTCATCTGTAACCGTACCAAATATACAAATATTGACGAAAACGATGAACTTTAAATTGTAAAGCCAACAAAACCTGTAATTCCCGATGTGTTCAAATTAATTTTCTTTCTAAATTCTGCTAAATAACTTAGCGGCTCGCATCCATAGCATTCACCCATTCTCTATAAATTATTTTCCTTTCCGACACAGCCAAAAATATATATCTGTAGTTTAAACAATAAATCTCTTATAATACGTTGTTTGTGGATTGAAAATATATTCTGAAATAGTTTAAAAATTAGTTTATACACGTAACTTTTCTCATTTAGGATCATCACTTGCAAACACTCGAAAGTTTACTTTATATAAGCCTATAAAGTTTGAGAAAAGTTATAATGAAAACCTTTACTCCGATGCTCCTATTTGCAGTTTGTATAATGAAAAAAATGCACGCGAATATAGAAAAGTAAACACAATTTTAACAAGTGCAGTATCTCCAAATTTCTTCTCTAATTTTGAATTTCAAAACTAAAATTAAAGCCTTTAATTATATGTCAGAGTAACCTCTAAACGAAAAGATACTCAATTTGAAATTATCAGTGGATGGAACCAGAAAGAAAGTACAGTACATAGCACGAAATCTATACCGTGACCTCGAAACTAAGAGACCGACATGGCCTAAACCAGAAACCAAATGCCGGTGAGTGGACAAAACGAAGTCTCGATGCGGTAAAGCGTACAAATAAACAAAACGGCGTCACCTACCACTCCGTAATAACGAATAGAAAAATTTTCGCCCGTTACTTTTGGTGTTACTCTCCCATACATTGATATAAAACAATAGAATTACCACCACTTGATAAGGACGAAGAGTTTTGAAAATTTCACTTCCAGAAGCAACTTTACAGCATTTTCTACAATTCGAATTCTAAACGCTTCGAACTCGGTATAATTACGTAAGATCCCAACGATGCGTCAATTACATCTGATTTGATTGGCATATAATTCTAACGCTCGTTCGATCGATCTTAAATCCGATATTCGAACCCGGATCTCCTTTCCCACAATCTGTTATTAGTGGCACGAACAAATGCCCGCTTGATGAGATCTATATACTGTATTTAAAAGCGTCTTTCTGGTAATTTTTCTCTAAAGTTTTTTAACACGCGCAAGAGTCGCTCTAGGACACTTTTCCTCACCTCTGTCACATTGTTTGGATAACAACATCGCTCTCTCTCTCTCTCTCTCTCTTACATAACTTCCACGACCTTGGTTCTGATCTAAACTTTAACAAAATTTTCTTTTATTTTATACAATTAATTCGATTTCGAACCCCGTCCGAAACCTCACATAAGCAACTAACAGTGTCTCGGGCGATATGTGCGGTACAGTACATACCGCCCGAGACGCTGTTACTTGTGATACATTACAATATGTTCAATCGTTTCAATTCTTCATAGACTTGACGTCAAGCTAAAGACACTAGAAAATTCCATTGCTACAAAATGCGGTAAAAGGTTATTACAATCATTAAAAGAGTAATCAAGAGATTAAATGGTTACGAAACACGAACTATGTGGCATTTTAACAATTTTAGATCCTAGATTCAAGACCCCCACTTTTCGACTTAGGAGAACTATATACATTTTTCAAAAGCAATAACAGATAAACTAACAAACATAATAAATTCACTTGACTTATTCTAAAACCGTGTCTTCTTTTAATTATTCTTTACTTCATAACTGAGTGCATAGGTAGACACTGGTCATCATTAATATTACTCTTTATTCAGGAATATCTTACATACCGATACGCATTTTTGGCACACGCCCCTCTTTTGTTTGCTTTTTCTTTAAGACATTTAGTAAAGAGATGCTAACTAATACCAGAGTCGGTAGATTAATCTACCGACTCTGATTCGGTCAAGCCCACAATAGGGCAGCCGGGTGGTGAGGGACGGGACCCGACAAATCCAGACGGACCAGCCCCCAAAAAATTCCTGGGGATTTTTCGATCCGAAGTATCCGAACACTAATACAGTACTCAAGACTGAACAAAAAGATTTGCTTTATTCAAATGATAATTATATCCCTACAATATAAGAATTTAAGTTTCCGCTAAATCCAATAATAATCAATATATTATTAATAGCTAATAGTTTTATCTAAATAATACATTTAAAATATTTATAATTATTATAATATTCGTTAATTAAAAAAAAAAAAAAAAAAAAAAAGTATATGACTTAAAATGCCAAAGGTGGCGGTTACATCGCAAATATCAGCTTGTTGGAGAAGTAGAAGGAACTTTGACGTGATCTTCCATTGATTACACAAGGTTATCGATGTTTAGCAACCGCTGACGATTATTTAATAATAAAACGCTCAAATTGACTTTTGGATTGGAAATTCTATTCTGGGAGAATAGAATTTAGTTTAACTTTAAACGAGAGGTAAATTTTTAAATTTGATTAATATTATAATTGATAAAAAAATTAAACTATTAATTATTGTGCCACTTTGCATGAATTCTAATAACATTCTGCAATAATAAAGTTACTAAACTTATATTGGTTAAAATTTGTTTTAAATTTGATGATAAACTACATTTAAATGTAAATTCAATTAGGTTAAATTCAATTATAATTGAAGTTACATAGATAACTGTATATAAATTATAACAAATATAGAAGATTTATAAACATGTACAAGTCATTAATATGTTGCCATAAGGTTCATCAATGACTTGTACAATTTATTAACTTTCCTCATTTTAAATGTTTGTGAAGTTTTATCTAAGATAAAATAGGTTTGCAGATAAAAAGAATTGAATAATTTTAAAATTCCTTTTGTTTAAACTGAATTGACTTATATTAAGTGTTTTTTTTTTCAAACAGATTTTACTTCAATAAAATGTTTTTTTTTTCAAACAGATTTTACTTCAATATAATTTCTTTTTATTTTATGTTTTTAAAAAATTGTCTTAATTTGAAATTTGATCATCTGTGCAAGAAAAAGTTGAACTTTTCAGTTTATAAACATTAAAAAAATTATTAGTCAATTTTTTTTCCACTTTTCTACATGTGATGAAATTTAAGATTGGGTGTTTTGGAGATTGTTAAATATATTTTGGTATATTATTTTAACAAAATTCAGTTTTTTATCAATAGTTAGTTCTATAATTGAGTTAAAATTTCTGATAAATCTTAATTAAAATTAAGTAAAAGTTTTGAGTACAGTAAATCTTAGTTTAATAATATATCTTAGAGTACAACCTGGTTCGAATGTTTGTATTGTTGATAAATTGGTCTGTTAAAATGTACATAAATTTTGTTCATTTATATAAAGAAATAAATTTTGTGCACCCAAATATTGATCAAATTTATTTGGTATTACTTTTAAATCGACTATTTTCTGGATACTGTTTTCTTCGTTGTAGACACAAACCAAATAAAAGGACTTTAACTGGTGGATGTGTCTATTGATGTAGTAAATATTTAATAAACTACAAAAATAATCTTTATTTACATTATTTTCTTTATATTATAAAATACAGAAACTAAAATAATTGTAGTGATTAATAAATGTATATTAAATTTTTTGAAATATTTACATTTTATTAGTGTTGTTGACATTAAACAGTTATGAAATTATTATTCCAATATTTTAATTTTGCAAGTTTTTGAATGAATAGTAATAAAATGTAAAAGTTATCTTAGCAGTAATTATTATTTTTTATATACAGTATTTTTTTTCAATATAGAAATATTTTATTGATTTAAAACTGATATACAATTATATTAAATTNAAAGTGCGACGACGACACGTAGAAAAAAACAGTTTTTTTTTGTCGATACTTCAATTTGACATTAGAAGCATGTGAACAGCTTAAAAATAGTTTCTTATCATATTTTTCAAGCTGTGTATTAAAAAATCACATAAAATTTGCTTTTTAGTTTTATTATTGATTTTGATTTTATATTTTTATTATTTAAACTTTTTAAGTTAATGCAGTATAGCATTATAAAATTTTTCCTTGAGTTTTATCCTTGGATTTGTAGTTCAGTAATCCTTGGATGATTATAAATTCATGCATTATGAATTCATTACTGTGCAAACAATATAATAAGTTTTATTTTATTTTTAATAATTATAATGCTAATGACTTCAACATATATATTACAATACTTTTAAGTGTAAAATTTTCACTAATAAAGCATTTTTTCTTTTTATATAATCAAATTATTTTTGAAATTTGTTTTATATTTGATTTTTTTTCCTTAAATGTTTTTAGTGTTAATTAGATTGTATTTAATTTCTTTTATCACTTCTTATAGTTTCAACTGTACTATACATTTAATAATTTTTAATGACTTACCCACTGTTAAAGGTGTATTGTTTAACATTGGAGAAATATTAACAGTTTATGACCTTGTTGATGGACTATCTTCAGGTGTGGACAGATGTAAGAGGAATGCCAGTGCTAGATAGATAGGATAAATAGGATAGAGTAAACAAACAGGGGAGGAAGACTGATGGTGGCAGATAATTTAAAAGACTAAGATGATGTGGATTTTCTTTTCCCTGTGTCTAGCAGATTCATCTTGCATCTATTTGTCTAAAGATAGCCCATTAATCAGGTGGAATTATTCCAATCCTACCCATTATTGAAGGTGTATTGCTATCTTCATTAAATTAATTATAGTGGCTAGTTTAATTTAGTGTTTCTTTTTAAAGCTTTGAGAAAGCTAGCTGTATATAATTTATAAGATAGTTTTTAATTTATGATCTAGGTTAAATAGAATATTTTAAAGAAATGAAAATAGGGAATCATAAAAAAAAACAAGACATGAAAATAGTCTTGTAATATGATTATGATGCATTTAATGTAGGAAAACTTATCACAAGATAACCTTGTGGTTAAAAGAACTTTTCAAGGTCATATAAAATGAAATCACTTTTACTCTTCATTAAATTTAAAGTTGCAAATTATGCAGTTCTAAATGTATTTATTTGGATCCAGAAAATGGTTTTAGATTAATTAAATAGTCTCTTTAACTTTATCATTGGAACTTTCACATTACCTCCTCTCATTATAAGGTAACAACCTAAGTGAATTTTGAAGGTAATTTTCAAGAACAACAAAAAGGTCCCATCTGATTAGCCATATATGACTTTCTACATAACTACAATAACAAAATTAATGTATCTTCAGTGCTTTTGGAATGAAAATAGTGCAAGAGACTTTTGACTTATTCTGTATATGAACAAGTAAAGATAAATTATTTCTTAAAAGCATACAAAGATAATTTTATACATTTATATTTTATTCATTTTGTTATCAAATGATATGATTCTAAAATTAGAGGAATATTTCTCATTTTAATGATAATTAATTAAAAATATTAATTTCAATTAACAAAATTTTTAGAGCAGCAGAATTTAAATGAAATATTTAAAAATTAAATTATTAAATCATAGTCAAATTGAAAATAGATGAAAGTTTGTGATCAAATGTCTTAATTACTTCATTTTTTTTCTATGTATTTTACAATATAATTTATATTTCTTCAAATATCATTTTAATTTTAGAAAAGGAAATAAATAAATATACATATAAGAATTATTTATATAACAATCTATTTTTATTCTTAAGGAAATAAGATTTATATTTTGATATTGTAGTTAGCAATTAAAAATACATGAATTTAATGAATCTGAATATTTTAAAAATTAGTTTTATAGATAATAAAGATTGATATTATAAAAGTTCTTGTTACAGATGGGCTTAGTAAACCTTATATTAATCATCGAGAAAATAATTAATTAGAAATTAGATATGCCTTGCCAAACCTATTGACATTTCACTTCTATACAAAATTTCCCATTATATTGATATTTTTGCATGCTATAGCAAATAGTAGTTATAGTATCTCCAAACAAAGGAAATGTTGTTTATTACGTTTAGGTAACAACTTCAGATATTATCTATCAATATAAAACATTCTTATAAAATAAGATATTCTTCCTTCTTATTTATGAACTGTATTGATATTAAATGCTATTTTCATAAAATTTTTGTGAAGTCGTTTGGGCCAAAAAACCCCAAAGCAAAAAAAAAAATACCTAAAATTTTTGCCATTAATTAAAAAGAAATTAACTGTTCTGTTATAAGTTAATTTGCACTGTACTTAAAATTAAATGTTATTAATTCTCAATTTTATGTGATATAAAAATATATAATTTGTATTGCATCTGAATTTTTAATTAAGTCAGTAAGTTGGTTTCTTGAAAATTAGAAAATCTAAATAAATTTATTAATATAAAATGTTTTTACAATAATATGAAAAACTACATAATTTAGAATAGAAAAGAAAATTCATAATTTAGAAAGAAAAGTGTACTCATCACAATTATCAATTTGTTAATTTTAATTTTTTACAATAAAGAAAAATCTATTATTATTTCATGACAAACTTGTACATAAACTATCTTGAAAGTCAGAAAATTTAAAATTAATTTCAAAATTGTATAATATCCTAATATTTATCATTAATCTGAAAAGCAAAAATTGAATGAATCATGAATGAAAAATATTCTAACAATTTGTTAGAATATTTCGTTTATTTTATAAATGTCAGAATTGTGAAATGTAACTTGACTGTTATGTTTTATATCTATCAAAACATTTATGGAATTTTTAAATTTGTATAACTTCTAATTGATGATGATAACAGAAATGATTCAGAAAGGTCATCATTAGAAAACTGTATTTATTAATAGATGAACATATTTATCTATTAATAAATATGTTAAACTTTTATTATGCCCTTAATCAAATAAGAGTTAAGTATGAAATTATTATTCTTAAGATATCATTTATAACTATTTTTATAGCTTTTTCTATAAATTATTTTTTAATCAATTTAAAAATAAATTGAAGAAATAATTCAATTTTGAAAAATTAAACATTTTCATCACATATATTTCATATGTAATAAATATTCAACATAAAATTAACTCAAAAAATTTTGTTAATAATCTTGAAATATTTTATTTATATTTTGGATATTATAAAGGTTTGATTTTTTTTCTTTCATTGTATGCATTATATGTATGTAATCTGAATTAAGTTTTTATATACAGTTACACAATAATCAAATCAAAAATAATTTTTAACCATATATTTTTTATTTGATTATTTCAGAAAATGACATTGACCCCACAGATTGGTCAAAAGGTGCTACTGTTATGGGGTATAACAGTAGCTGAAGATATTTTAACAGATATGGTTCAGAATTTGAAAGAGCAAGTTGGAGAGAAAGGACTTGTTGCTGTTGAAAACATTGATCGCTTAGTAATGTGTAAGGACTTTAAACATAAAGTTTATGTTAATCAATTTTAAGTAGAATTATCATTTAAAGAGAACAGTGAACTTTATTTCTAAGATCAAAGTTCATCAAAATAAATTATCTTTTTATATTATATAGTGAAATAATGTAATTTATAAAGTTTCATATTTAAAGAAAATGATTTATGACTGCATGTTTTTTTTTTTGTAGTTTTTAAAATTTATATAATTTTATTTTAGCATGTAGAGTAGGATCTTCTTTTGATATTGTTGCTTGTGGAATTATGTCCATTTCTGCAAATTATCACCCAGCTGAATTATTAACAGAAATTGCTAGAATTTTAAAACCTGGTGGAAAAATTATTTTAAGAGAACCTGTAACAGCTCAAGGTATGAAATATTTTATAGTTTTAAAGTAGTTGATTAATTTTTTGTTTTTATATTGTCCACGTGGACCTTGTTTATAAATAGGGCTTATTATACTGGTTAGTTTTTGATTAGCAAAGAGAGGAAGTCTTAGTTAAAGTCAAAACAAAATATCTTTATTTTTACCTGTACAATCTTTTTGTGTGTTTTGGACCTATAGGCCCCTCTTCAGCAGATTTACATTTTATAACAATTTATAAAAACTTTTAAACAATATTATATCCAACAATATTTGAGATTAAAGAAAATGTAAGTGATTTTATCTTCTGTCCAATAATAATTAATACACCACCAATATCGACATAAAGCATCCAAAAAACAAGGCATAGCATACTTATCATATGTATCCAAGTAGACAATATAGAAACAAAAAAGTAAAACATTAAGGACATTGGTAAAAAGAATTAACAGTTGATTAATTTTTTTACTTTTACAAATTTTACAAACTTTACAAATTTTACAAACTTAATTATTAAAGAAACAATTTTTATTAAATAAAGTATTGGATAAAATTTTCTAATATATACTATTTTATCACAATTAGATATAATAGTTATTAATATAAAGTTATCATTAACTCACATTATCAAAAGGGACACATTAATAAGATTTTTGTTTAAATTCTGACATTTTATTAATTTATAAAAATGTAAATTTTAAAAAATGTTCTAAGTTCTAGTAAATATTTTCTGGATTATATAAAAAAATAATATAAACAATTTTAAAAATGAGTAAGACATGTTTTTATTAAAAGCATGGAAAATTTACTTCAATAATGCAGGACTTCCACTTTTACTTTTCATACTTTTTGTTAAAATGTCCTACTTTGTCCTCCTTTAGCATGCCCTACTTTTTCTACATTTTGAGTGTAAAATTTTGGATAAATATATTTATATTTTGATTTTTTTAGACATCCATTATTTTTTTATACTGGATCAAAAGTTCTTTGTAGACTTGTATTTTCAAACTGTTATAGCTGTTTTTCATCTTAGTTTACTATTGTCTATCTCACAGAAATACTTTAGCTATACAGTGTCATATATATAACAAGAATTTTAAAGCTAATCAAATTAAATTGCTGGATTATGTTGAAAGAATGCATCTAGATTGGATGCCAAACTTTATATATACCCAAACAATGGAAGAGGTATCTGACTTTGAGGATAGCCACAAAAAATAATGGTGAGACAAAATAGAAGACCTAAAACTATTAAGATTATACGACTGGAGAATCATTGCGGTGAAAAGAAAGAGGTGGTGAAAGATTATAGCTGCAACATAGAACCTCAAAGATTCATAGTTCTAAGACAGGGTTTCTCAATGGAGTTGGTATTGACTCCTTGAGTCAATGAAAGTTTGAAAGGGGTCGATAAAACTTTGCAAATTTAAAAAATTTATTTTAAAATATTAAAAATGTTGTTGGTTTTGCTCTCAAATAAATGCAGGAAGATGTCTTTTATAAATTATGTAGGAGACTTTTGCATGTATAATTGTAATAAGTAATACAGTATATAATATTGAAGTGGGTCAGTGAAAAAAAGAAAATTTCTCAAAAGGAGTTATGTATTGGCTCCTTTTAAGAAATTCTAAGAAAAAGGTTGGGAATTCCTGTTCTAGAATGATAGGATTTTTTTCTTGAAAATTATCAAGAAATTTTCTGTTCATTCTGTTAGCAAGTCATGGCTCCTTGATTTGTTTTATATAGTAAATAACACTTGATTCATTTATAAGTACAAATAATAAGCTAAATGCTGCTATACTGTGATAAAAACCAACTGCTTTTTAGCTCTCAGTTCCAGGCAAGAATGCAGAATATTCTGCATTCTTGCTAGATTTGATCAATAGAGACTGATGATGATGATAAAAAAGAAAGGCGTGTTATGAAACTTGGAACTTATGAAAAGATTATACAAGGAACTAGATATCAATTTCACATTAATGTCCATTTCTGCTTGTCCATAAAACCCAGACTTTATTAATAAATGAATGCCAATAGAGACCGGCTGGTCTTAGATAAACCACCCAGTTCTTCAGGTATATTAAGAAGCTTAGATGAATTTTTAAATATCAGATCTCTCCCAAATCAAAATGGAAACAAAATTTTAAAGATCTTTGAGATCCAAGAAGGGATTTCTGCTCAATGGCCACAAGTTCATTTCAAACAAGAATTCAACTACAACCTTATTCAGTGGTACTGAGAACTAGACAAAGCATGCATGTTTCTACCCAGTTTTCTCCACAATCCACCAAATATGTAATCACAAACAAATTTAAAAATTCTATTGTACAAAATGGACACATAAACAGCCTACATTTGATCAGTCTACAAATCTTTTCAGAAGGGTTCAACAAAGCAGAGGTGACAATGAATTAATTATTACACTTTCTGATAAAGTTAATATTCCTATAATTCTGAAAAATGACAAACAAAAATAACAGATTATTGACATATGTGACATTCAGGCTTTTGACTAGTCGAAGACACTGTGACAAGAAAAGTGAAGGTCATAAGAAACAGGAGTAAGTTACCATCCATTTTATATTTTCAAATTATTAATTAAATTACTCCTCCTCAACTATTAGATTTTCTTAAAACTTCTAAACTTACCTGCCAATCAGACCATTGTGGTAAAGCTTTATTCTTCTACTATAGGCATGGAAGAGACTCTGGCTTGACTTATCAAGCCACACTTTAAACAGAATGACTGTGAAAAACAACCCATGCCAGATTATTGAAAAATTAAAGCAACTAGACAATGTACACTGTTTACAGTACTAACTAACAAAAGTCTTTACTCATCATTTCAACTGGAAACAGTTTATTCCTTAATCCTGCTTTTTACATGACATACTGAAAGACAATTGGAACAGGGTGATCCCAAAGTTTATATACACTGTGGGTATGGTACTGGCATTGTATTTTTAGCTATGACGAAACTTCATATGAGTAGATTAGGTCTTGTGTTTATGAAGCGGAGTAATGTAGATGAAAAACTTACTCCTCATACTTCATTTACTATTTATTCTTATTTTACCTCTCAAGATAAATGAGGGGAGCTCTGTAGCTTTGAATTTGCCAAACTTTGCTTAACTTTCTTTCATTGAAACCTTCAGTAGTAAAAGTGTGATGTATTTATTGAAACCTACAATAAATACATCACAGCAATACTCCACAATATTGATGATTTATAATTATATGAAACAACTGAGAAGACCACACTTGCTTTCTTGAGAGCATAAACCAAAATAACATAGAACTCAAATTTGAGATAGATCATGCTCACTAAAATACATTTTATTATCTAGACATATTGATCAGAATTGAGAAGGACAGACTGAAAATAGCAGTTTATAGAATACCCACAGCTGTTCTTCATATCTGTGCTATTAAACCAACAATCCCTTCAAAAACAAAGTTTCAATCTTCAAATCACTGTTTAGAAGGGCTTGCTTGTATTCAGCAGATGCTGAAGATTTAAAAAGAGAGATAATGTTAATCAAGAGGATTGCCTTCTCTTTTGGCTTCCTTCCTAGGCTAATTTGAAGCTTATCAAAACAAGACTCTGGGTACCAGTTACAAAAAATACAAAGATACAATAAAGAATACAAAACACACTAGGACAGTTAAGTTTACAGGTCTGAATACTCACAAGTCTTATGAAAAAACATTTCAAAGCAGAACTTGCAACTTAACATTTTTTGTTAGCCAATCTTCTATGACTAATGAAAATTTGTCTTTACTTTATTTACTGATGATGAGGAAGAGTGTACAAAATCCTTTTCAACTCAAAAGAAAAACATGTCAACTGGTATTTTAACAGCAAACTTCTTGCAAACAAAAAATTATACTTGACTGAGATCAAACTATCCTAGTGATAACTAACACAAGTCATCTGTCAGAATGGCAGAAGAGTTAATCATTTCTATGACAATTGATTCTGTATTATAAATGAGAGAAAAGAAAACAATTTCCTTAATCCATGGGTGTGGCTCATAAGTTTGATGACCAAGAAAAGATTTTATTCCAAAATAATGGAGTGATTGATTCTTTGAAAAAAACCTTATCTTTACACTTTGGACTCAAATGCTATAGATAATGATTGACCCAATTTCAGACAGATACAGCATAGACAGACAGAACTTAAACAACCAATACTAAAAAAGTTGTTTCGGTTTGCACAAGTTTTTTTTTCATGTATAGTTGCTATTCTATATTTACTCTTATTTTATTTACTTTTACTTTATTTTTATTGTATTTTGGTGTATTTTTCTAATCTTAGAAATGCATCATTTATTAATTTTATTATACAAGCTGCTCTGATTATCAAACATGCTTAAATTTTAAGAACAAAGCAGGTTCTAGAAAACACTTTTATTCTGTATACATATAAAGTAATTTACATATAGAGCTTATGATTAATTTTAATAAAATATTTTAAAAATTAAAATTTGCTTTAAAAATTCCAAAATTCTTACTAGAATTATTCTCAATCATAGTATAAGAATTTTATTTACTTTTGTAATAGTGTATAGAAACTTTAAGATATTTTAAATATTAATAGTGGATATTAAATTTTTAATTGTTTCCTTAAAGAAATCTAACATAAGCTTTTGTTTCATTCTAAGATACATTATATGCTGCTTTATTATAAGGCACATTATAAGTTGATTGAAAATATAATGATTTTCTTTGAATTTTTTTTTATGTATTTCCAATTCATGTGAAAGAGATTTTTTTTTTTTTTTTTGGTTAATTCAGATATTGGACTTCAAATACGTACTTCTACCAAACTTTTTTCTGCTTTGAAGTTATCTGGATTTGTAGATATAAGTGATGTAAGTATACAGTGATATTTTTATAATTATTAATTTTTGAAATATTTTTAATAATATATTTCTAATTAAGATTATTTTTTATTTTAGCCAGAAACTATTCCTTTAACATCCCCGCAATTAGATGAATTAAAGAAAGAATGTGGTGTTGATTGTGATGTTTCTCTTATTGAAGTAAAAGCTTTTAAGCCAAAATTTGAGATAGGTTCTTCTCTGAAATTACCAAATATTAGAACAGGTAAGAAATCATATTTTAAAAATTTGCTAACATATAAAAAAATTGGTATATAATTTAGAATCTTCAAGAAAACATGACTTTTAATACACAAAATAGGTAAACTTGATTGCATAAAATATTGAGAATCTGAATTTAAGATTCATTTTTATTTTTTTCTAAATTATAAAAATAGATGTAATATTTTGTCACAAAAATTCAACAATTTTCTAATTTTTGAGGGAAATTAGGAGAAGATAAGGAAATACAGTTTCCTTTCTCAACCATTTATTTCCTTAGAGAATTCACATCATTTTCGATGACTAAACTCCAAGTTAACCTGACTTCTTGTTTGAGCTTAATGAGTCATTTGACAAGAAACCTAACTCTTCATTGGAGATAAATTTGAGTATAAAAGGGTTTTACACGTCAGATTCAGAGCAGACCCCTTAATACAGGAGAAGCCATTAGACCTCTGCAGACCTCTCTATACTAGAGTTGCCATATTTAGTCAATGGACACCTCAAAATACTATATAGGATAGTTAGATTCCTCCATATATATTGGAAAGTATTCAATTAAAGTGGAACTTCACTTAATGAGTATAATTCATTCCAGAATCTTACTTGTAATGCGAAACACTTGTTAAGTGAAACAGTTTTTCCCATATAAATTAATGTAAAGTACAATAACGTGCTCCATGTCAAAAAAAGTACTCAAATATTTTATATACAGTAGAGCATCGATTATCCGACTCAATTGGGGACTGGAGTGGGTCGGATAACTGAAAAATATGAAAAAATACATTATTAGTATAGTATATTAGTATATCCCATGTAATTAGTATATTAGTATATTGCTATTAACCTACTTTGCGTTGAATTTTCATCAATGTTAAGCCTAACAAAAAGTTTTTAAAATAATAGTCGTCACTATTGTATCATTAAAATTAGAAAATTAAACCTTGTTTAAATACTGGCTCCCTTTCATGGTCGAGCCAGTGTTGCCAGCTAAAACACTTAAAAATAATATTAAAGTAGCAAAGACATAGCCAAATATTGTTGTGCCACATCACTAGCAGACATTTGAATTTGCCGACTAGAATGCGGTCAGTTAACCGATGTGACGGTTGATCGGGGGTCAGATAATCGATGCTCTACTGCAGTGATTCTCAACCTTTTTTTTCGTCACGGTACAATTTTAATAATTTAAAATTTTGGCGGCACACACGGTTACTTCGGTAAGTATCGTAGGACCCGGTTGTCCTACGATACTTACCGAATACTTTGACGTCATAACAGTGACTTTTAAACGCAGTTGGTTATTTAGATCACATTTTCTAAACGTCTTAGTAACTACTGGCAGTTTCCGGTAACACTGGTTACAATTTCCAAACACACCCTAGGAAGATAGAACTGATTAAAATATTTGTCTCACGTCGCTTATGTATGGGACATTCGCAGTTACGGCACACTTCAAAAGTTTCGCGGCACACTAAAATGCCGCGGCACAGTGGTTGAGAATCACTGCTCTACTGTATAACATTTATTCAAAGAAACTTATACAATATACATTGTTAAGGAGTGTAAATCATTGCATCTTTTCTTCTAGCATGGAATGAACCAGCCTGAATGCGAATTCAATTTGAAGGGGGAAAAAAAATCACAGCCAATATGTCTTGATAAACATGCTAAACAATATGCCAAATTCTTTGGCTATGTAAAGGTTATAATTAAATATTAGAAAATTAATTTAACTAGAGGTAGGCAGTTATGCTTCCATCTCGTGTTAAATTTAATAATTATGAATAATTCATTTTTAATTTAGACATTTCTAAAATTTAGTTTGGAATTGGTCATTAAATTTAATACAAGATGGCAGTATAACTGCCTACCTCTAGTCAAATTAATTAATTTCTAATATTTAATTATAGCCTTTACATAGCCCAAGAATTTGGCATATTGTTTGGCATGTTTATTAAATAATGGGTGGTGGTTGTTGATATTTATACGTAACGTGTGAACACAAGTTTGGAAAAATGTGTGATCACAAATGACACTAAGATGTTGGTGAAGTGAGTGCTAAACACAGACTGATGGGGGGATGTGCACAACCCAGACTTCCCCTCTTCTTTTCACTCATTATGCAAAACATCCCTTGTTAAGCGAATCAATTTTTTACAGTTTGTTTTGCTAGTTATGGAAGGTTTCACTGTGCCTGATCAACTTCAGATGTATCAACTTCCATCTTTATGAGTGAAAGAATATATTTTAAATGAGTGAAAGAATATATTTTAGAGGTATTTTGTCAATTTGTGTAAACTCTCTCTCTCTCTAAATATAAGGATTCAAAATAGAAGTAATTAGATTATATATTAATCTTGTATTTAATTTTTATTCTTATTAAATTTTCTTTTATTATTTAATTTGGTTTCGTTTCAAACTAATTTATATGCCAAATGCTTTATCATAGGAACATAAGTCCCTTTGCCTTGGAACTATATAAATAAAATCTTTATATCATGAGGTAAGATGTGAATTACATTTCTTACCTGGTGTCAGGAAAAAGACCTGGGATAATAATAATAATATTCCAGGTCTTTTTCCTCAGGTTTATTTTTATGATGACAATGGAAAAATGTTTAAAATATTTATCGTATCCATCCAATGACAAAGTGAATGAGTCTCATAGACTTGTCGTTGATAAGAGTTCGATAGACCATCGAACCTGGCATCTCACAATATATTAACTGACAATTACAAAAACTGTAATCCATATTTTTCAATAATTCAATATGAATAAAAGATTTATAGATCATATAATTTGAGAGAAAAAATGAGAAATTTTAATAGCATCACATGAGTATATCAAACATTGTGAAACCTAATATGTATATAGAAACATAACCAAATGATCATCTTAAATAATTGGGCTATAACAGTGATTTAATCATGATTAACTGCATAAGATTATATCTAAATTTAATTATATCTGGAAGCAATGGCTAGCTCTGAGTCCAGATGGCACAACTGGCATGTGCACTGCATGGCAAGCAAAGATTGCAGGTTCAAGTCCAGCCCTGGGTCTGTTCTTTCCTTCCAGATGATTCTAAATTATTTATTAAATTATTAAAATTATAATTATTAATTTAATTAAAAGATGATATCTAACATCTACCTCTAGTAGCAAATACTTAGTATTAATCATTAAATTAATGGAGTTATAGCCTGATTAATATATATTTAAGGTGATCATTTGGTTATATTTCTAGCATCACATGATTCATAAAATAATCATTAAAATTGAATTATTGATAAATAACTATTTTTGCACCTTCAACTATTAATATTTTTGAAGCAACTGATTAGTTGATAATTTACAAAGAGTTGACTGTTTATATAATTGTGCAGATAGCATAATTGCTATAATAAATTGTAGATGAAGTTATGAAGATAGAATAGGTTTGTCTTTTTATGATTTACTGTGTTATTTATGTTACTTGATATTTTAATTTTTGAAACATTTAAATACACTGGTGTGCAAAACTTAAGCAACAATGTTGTTTTTAAGCAGACAGCCATGAAATTGCAGAAAATGGCTTGTTGCGATCAGTACAACAGACACCCAATTTAGTAGAAATATGATTCATATTCAGAAAGAAGACATCACAGGTGACATGAGGGCATGCAGAACGCATGCAATCAGCACACAGTGTAAGAGTACAATAAGGAGGAGGTTTTGGTTTCATACTATATGCATTCTATTCATTTTTGTGCTAGTGTGCTGTCTTTATCCTTTAAGTACAAAATACTGTCTGTATTCTGAATTTCATGTCTCCCAGGTGATTTTTATGCAGCGTTACAGCCAAAAAAAAAACAAGTTTTGCTTAAGTTTTGTACACCAGTGTATTTTAATTATATAAAACTTTTTTGTCCATACATTTAACTTATTTTGTATTTGATATTACAAATAGGGGTTTAAAAGTGAATCATAAGTGCTTACTTGAATTAGAATTATAAATAATGCAGAATATGATAATTTATTTCATTTAAAATTTTGATGAAACTTAATGAACTATAAAATTAAAACCAATTATAAATTTTATTTAATCTATTATTTTTTATTTTTATGATGACAATTTTATTGTAATAGAAAGTTTTTATAGTTTTCAAAACATTTCTGTTTCACTGTAATTTTCTTTTTATAATTACCATCAATTATCTAATTTTTTTTATCTGTAGCATTTACTGAAAAATTTTTAAGAATAAGCAATTTTTTTATTCAAAACCATTAATTTTAAAGGTTTGGCATATATTTGAATATAATATATTTGTTATATGCAATTTTATTGTAGAAAGTCTTATCCTTGATGCCAATTTTCTATATTGATAACCATGACTATTTTGCAAATATCTATATATGAAATAGTAATATTGTAGTTAATATATCAAAGAAATACACATTTGTATTATTTATATTAACTGGAATGAATATCATTTTATACAGGCTATTTTTCCAGATTCATTGAATATTCACTATTGATTTGATGATAGCTTTATTATAACCAATGGTATTAATAGATAATGATATTACTACATGTAAAATTGTAATAATAAGCAAAATTGCAAGCCTAGTAATTTTTGATAATTTCGTAATTTATCATCATATATTCCTTATGATGTATGATGATTGTTTCTGACAATCGTTGCTAAAACTACTAACAGTGAAGAAATATATCTGATATATCAGTAACTTATCAGTCATATCTCAGGGAAGGCATTTGGATGATTTGTTACAATGAAGGATCATTTATTCCTGCATTTTTGCCATGTACATTTGTTTGTTGCTGTAATTTTGGACAAGTGTTTATCTATTTTAAAAATAACAGATTCAAAGAAATTTTCAATGCTATTGAGTATAAGAAAATTATTTAGATCTGGTTTTATAATGATTTTAGATAATCAAACATCCTTACTACACCTGATAAGTTTAAAGCTATACAACAACCAAAGCCGAATATTATTGGGCTAGAAACGGCTAATTTAATAGACAATTTGGCATTAGAGTTTGGCGTTAGGTGCCATCTCTTGATAAATTTAATAATTATAAGTTAATTAAATAATTTAAATAATTTTAGAATTACTGGAAGAAAGAATCGACCTGAAATTAGCTGTTTCTAGACTGATAATATTTGGCTTTGGTTGGTGTATGAGATTTTAGATTTTACTAATTTACATAATTTATTCTTCTTGTAATTCAAAACTATTGTTTTCTATTTTGATGGAAAGAACTTTTATTGTTTAAGCTAGACTTTAAGTCGTGCTTTGTTTTCATTTTGAAAGGTGAGAGCTTAACTGTCTCACCAGATTTCAATCATTCAAAACATATCATTTCGATTTCCATTCAGGACCTCGCGTATGAAGATTAATAAAACACTTCTAAATTTCTAAATGAACTGCTGAATTATTATCNACATTTTAGTCTAGTTGTTGATACTTAATATCTATTATTAATGTAAGAAATATCTTCACTTCAATTAACTGAAAGTACTCTTACCTTTTTTTACTAAAAAACTCTTAGCAACAATAAATGTAAGAATACTTTAATCATCATTGGTGTATAAATGACATTTTTCAAAGCTTGCAAATAACAATGTAGAATTTAATGTTTATAAATAAAATACTATTTTTTTGAATGTAAAGAAATGAGATGCAATTCTTTGTTTCTGATATTTTTTAGATGAATATATATTTTGAAAGTCATTCATGTTATCCTATCTAAAATAATGCCATCTTTGGATAAATTTAAACTTTTTCGATTAGATTACAAATGATTATAGCAAATGACCTGATTCATTTCATATTTTAACAAAAAACTCAATATGAATTCATAAAGGAACATTAGAATTATTGATATAGTTGTCAACTGAGGGGGTACAGCACCGAGCTGGTCCCCACTTATCAGCTTCTTTGTCAGGGATGGTCTATGTATTAAATGAGTGGGAGGGTTAGAGAGGTTGTGACAAGGTGTCAGTCGTACTTAAGGATTACACACATTTAGATATAAGAATAACATATTTAATTAACTATAAAGCTATAAAAATGAGTACAAATCAAAGGCTACAAAAAGGAGAATAATCAAAAATACTTCGAAGTTGCGACAAGGATAGACAATCGTTGATAAGACATCTAAATTCTGGACCTCTATAGGTCCCAATATCTTTGAAGTTAAACTAACCAAAATCTAGTCTATAACCGAGAGAGAGACGGTTAAATTTTTTCATGATATTACCTCCTTAGTCCCCGATCTTGTTGTATAGCCATTGGTGGAAACGTTTCTGGATCGGTGGAATTGACCATTGGAGATTATGGCGTGGTGGCGACGGACAGAGTGGTGGTATGGGTCTGTCGATGCTGCAAGTGATGTCTGCCATCGATGTCTCCCGAAGGACTGTGTCCAAGCCCTTTTTTATACACATCCTGGAGGGGTGACTAATACAGTAGAACCTTGAAAACTCGGCTCTCGATAACCCGGCACTCCGGATAACTCGGCCACACCCTGGCAGGGCAAAAAAATCCATAGTTAATTAATTTTCATTATAGACAGCTTTATAAAATTATAAAAGCTCTCATAAAGTATTTTTCTGAGGTCTGTCTTATCAGGTAAATTACTGTACACAGTGTATTCATTAATTTTCATTTTCATGTAGTAAAGGCTCTATGCCTTCATAAAGGACATACTTTTCCTTTGTTTAAGGGTATTTGGGCAGTTTATTCTTTGTTGTATTCTCAAGTAAACAATACATACAAGTACAATACAGTATTTTCTGAGAAAACACTCATACTTATTTTTTTAACCCCATTCCCGATAACCCGGCATTTTCACAAACTCGGCCACCCTTCGGTCCACATTAGGCCGAGTTTTCGAGGTTCTACTGTACTAAGTCTGATGCAATCCCATCTAAGGTTGACTTGCGTTCAGGATTTGTTGTTTATGTTAATTGTCAGAAATTGAACATTTCTTTAGATTTATTACTTCTTCTATTCAGTATTGTCACTCTTTCTACCTCATGAATTTGATAACAGCTGTCAAACAACTGAATTAATTGCTGGAGGTGACTAACGTCAGAATTTGTCTTGCACCTTAGTAATAATTGTTCCTTATATGGTCATCTTGATTGGCTTTATTGTTCACAATATTGTACGAAATAGGAAGTGTGTGGGTTTTGTTTTTTTTCTTTCCATCTGAAAGTTTAAAAGGTCACTTCTCAAAGTGATGCAAAAATTGAAGAAAGAGAGAAATAATGATGAGAAAAAAAATTATCGAAGCTTTAAAATTCACAAAAGAGCTTGAATCTGCACATAGTTAATATATATAAAATTTTATACATAAATTTAATTTTAAAATATTGTTATTTATACTTTTACAGGACAAACAAAATCAAATGAAAATGTTGCAAAAATTTGGTCTTTGTCATCGTCAGATATTTTAGATGAAAATGTGGAATTGCTGGATTCTGATCAATTATTAGATGAAGAAGATTTAAAAAAACCTGATCCAGAATCTTTGAAAAGTAAGTGAAATTNAAAATTAGCATGGATATTTGGGAGTTCAGTACATATCTGAATTTTGTATTTAATATTACCTTTTTATGTAATTTGTAATATGATTTTATTAATTTACTGCTTTTATATCTTCTTTAGAACATAAAATATGATATAAAAAATAGTCAAAAGTAAACTTCTTATTGAATTCTTTTAGATAAAAAAAAAAAGTGCAGAGATGTCTAATAAAAATTTTTGTTCTACTTTGTATTTTAAACAATCTTATTCTAGAATTTTAAGATGACCATTTAAAATGGCTGGAAACATTTGTTTATTGTAAGTTTATGTACTTGGTTATAAGGTTTGTTTTTTTATTTATTTCAATTTTATTCAGTCCAGTTTAATTGTTTTACATGTTTAATAAAAATATCTGAATACTAAATTATTTTTAAATACAGTAAGACCCCGCTTAATGCAGGGGATGCATTCCTAAACGACAAAGCGCTAAACAAAACAGTGGTCATTTTAACATAGTGTAAATAGGGATAGGGGAACACATGACCAAAAACAACAAATTTTACTTTAAGTTATTTTTATATTAATTTGTATAATAATATGTTAAATAACATAAACATATGCGCACAGAAATGTAAAGTTCATTTTTTGTGATGAAGGTCCTGGTTTTACTGAAATTCTTGTTCTTTTGCAATAAAGTTGTGAAGTTTCATTTGTCGCTTTTTTCTTTCCTTAAGCAAATGTCAGTAGCAGAAGATTGCATCAAAAAACGCCTCATTTTGCTTTTGCACTCCTTTCAAAATCTGGATCATTCGCTACAATTTGATCAACGATTTTGGTTATTGTTATGAAAGTTTTACTAAGGAAATCTGTAGAGAAATTTTTTGCATTCTTTGTTTTCAGAATGTCTATTTTCCAGTTCCACATGAATTACATGTTCTGCCAGTTCTTGAAGGTAGTCGTTTGTAAGGCTCTCACCAGAAACCTGCTGTAACTCCTCAATATCCTGCTCGTCTATATCTCCTAGTCCTGCTATATCGATTAGGCTGAGTTTGGTCAACCTAACAATACAGTGATAGGTTCTTCTTGTTGAGAATTCTTGGATGCCTTCAGCTATAACTTCTTCCACACTTTGTTCTTGCATTTGTCAGTTAATTCTTGCTAAGTGAAGGCAATATTTCCTATGGCATCCATGATGTTATATTTTTTCCAAAATTGCATCAAACATAGATTTAAAGAAAGTACACCTTTTTGCCATCTTTTTCTGATTGGTTCATATTAGTGTTGCAACGAATAGTGTATTCAGCCTCAGGCTGAATACCGAATATTCGGCCAGGAGTGTGGCTGAATAGCCAAATATTCGGCCAAACTATTTGGCTTGATTAACACACGTACGAAAATTGGCACGCAAACCTCATTACGGCAAGGACCCGCTCTCTATTGGCCCACTGTCACTACGCTTCGCCAATCGCGTTAATTCCTGACAGTTCAGACAAGAGTGTCATGGCAGTATGTGATAAGTGATGATATCACATGTGGATAACAATGAAATGACCTACACGTGTAAATAACGGAAGAAGAACAGAGAAGGACCGCAAAGTGAAAATGTGAAAATAAATATGAAATTGGGTTGATAACAGAATCGAACAAGACGATTATGTTATCAACTCAATAAGCTGCCTCGAACAAGTCAAGGCAGCTTATTGGCACGAAATTCGCGGCCATGAATGCCAAACAATTGTCATAGACTTTAGAAAGCTAAATGCTTGTAACAAAAGTCACTTAGCGTGCACGAGCGAAAGCCTGGGGTCGTTCGGGCTACCAAGCTGTTTCGAATCTGTGAAATCATAAACTGTGACTTATACCGACGTACTATCTGTCTCTTTTCTCCGTTATCACCAGGCTATGAGTTGCGTAATTGTAAAATTGGAAATCTACGACGGAAAAGTGACAAATTGAAAGTATCATGAGCGCTATTATGATGTATGCATATGTGGACTAGAGTGATAGAGAAAAGAGAAAGGAAAGAGCAAAGACAAGCACTTAAAAAGAAGGATAGGCAGGGTCAGACCCTCAGATGTGCGCTGATTCTCGAACGAATAGGTGTGTACGTGTGCTGATCTTTGTAATTATAAATTGTGGATACATGTGACTAATATTATTTTCTTTTTTATTTTGTGAATGTTATAAGTTATAAATAAATATAAACAAACAACGCTAACCCGATAACATTAAATTTAAATACCAAAATGATTAATTTACTGTGTTTTTGNATTATAAATTGTGGATACATGTGACTAATATTATTTTCTTTTTTATTTTGTGAATGTTATAAGTTATAAATAAATATAAACAAACAACGCTAACCCGATAACATTAAATTTAAATACCAAAATGATTAATTTACTGTGTTTTTGTTATTTCTTACTCCCGTTTTTAGGTATTCGGCCGGATATTGATTAAATATTCGGTATTCGGCCGAATAGCGAAAAATAGGCCGAATACTGAATATTCGTTACATCACTAATTCATGTTCCTAAATAATCATATTATATATGAATCAATGAAATGCTGCAATAATTTAAATCTGTGTAAATTTTGAAATTTTTTTTTTAGGCTTTGAGCAGACTGCATTATATCGAATCAACATTAAGTGAGGTCTTACTGTAGTTATAAAATAATTGTTTTTGATTTTTAAAAATATTGACATACAGGAAAACCTCACTTTCATCTGTGTTAACTCTAAGCTGTCTACACTAAGCTTGTTCTTGGTGCAGTACATAGTGTTCTCCATATAATACAGTCTCAATAAGTCAAAATTGTTGGTATTTTTAACTTGAACCTATTTTTTCATATACTCTCCACTTTTTGATATTTTCATTGATCTATGATCATTTTTTTTTTATATTCCATGTGAATACAGATGATTCAGATAGTTAAACACTACATCTCCAAGCAAAAAAACTGTCATTACAAGTTAGTATCAACATCCTTTTACTGAAAGTATGTTACTAGTGTTCTGATTGGGACACAATTACCTTGACAACACATTCTGAACTGTCTATAATTTTGTAATCATTCTGTGAACAAATTCTTCAGAAGTGGCTTGATAGCAGAAAATTTATGATCACAGAAAAATTTGAGAAAATTGGATGTTAAACTTGTTAACTTGAAACTCAACTTTAACTCAGTCTGGATTTTTTTAACACTTTAAACTTTTATTTTGTTGTTATTCAATAAAATACTCAAATAAAATATTTGGTCTGTAATTGAGAGTTAATAAATTTCATATTTACTTTTGACCCACCTTTTAGAAAAGGCTTTCCATTATTGGTCTATGAGAATTTCATAATTTCAAGAAGTGCCTGTTGCACATAAAAAAATGTTTTGTTTTATGTAAAATAGATAACGATTTTCAGATTTATTATTATTATATTGTAAATGGTGCATTTTTCAGAACTAATAAAAAATGTGTAATATTTTTAAACAATTTACAGTAAATTAATGAATGTGATAATTATGATAAAACAAATTATTTGATTTTTAACATTTCATAAAATTTAGAATGTGGTTTAATATGATATTGTAAGTGTTATTTTTGTTGTTTATATGTATGGAATTTATACAAGGTGTCCTGTCAAGACTGCATAAACTATGCAGAGCAAGAATCCTCACTTGGAGTATAGAAAAACTGACCCAAAAACCATACTTCTATAACCCGTAGTTTTTGAGAAAATGCAAAAAAAAAATATGATGTCACATCCAGTGCACAGAAAATAAGCTTTATTGGAAACATTAACATTGGTACTTGCATATGACATTATACGTACATAGGAAGATGCTCAAAATGATAACTGTGCATACTGAGGCATGCATGTGCACACCATAGAATGGCTGATTGACATGATCCAGCATTGTTGTCCATAAAAGTGAATTCAGCATGAAGATGAGCAAGCAAGATTGTGTACGGTCATCCATTCTACGGCATGTGCATGCATGTCTTGTTGTACTTGATGGTCATTTTGAGCATCTTCCTATGTACGCATAATGTCATATGCAAGTACTGATGCTTGTGTTTCCAATAAGCTTATTTTCTGTGCACTGGATATGATGTCAAACATTTTTGTTTGAATTTTTCTCAAACTATGGGTCATAAGGTATGGTTCTTAAGTTATTTTTGATATACTCTGAGCAAGTCTTGATGGGACACCCTGTATACATTGAACTTGGTACATATTTTACATTATTATAGTATGTTTTTTCTTGGTTTTTAAGACATACCAACAATTTTGAATTGAATTTTTAAGATTTTTTTTTTCTTACAGAGAAAAGGCTTTTTTAAAAATCTTATTAAATTTTGTTAAATAATAAATAAAAGGGAAATTTTGTAAGATTATTACAGTAATACCTCGACTTATGCGAACCCGGAGTTACACGATTTTCAAATCTCGTCGATTCGTCTTTTGTTTGAGTGCCACGCAACTCTTGATTACTCACTCCCCCCACACTATTGTTCAGCTTACATGTTCGGACGTGTCGCGCGGAATCGACACATAGCTACAATTTATTTTGTGTTATTTATTTCTGTGTTTGTTATATCTACGGAGACT